TATTCGTGGAGGCGAGGATGGGGTTGAAAAATTCCATCTGTAACGGGGTTGTGACGAGAGCGAGGGTGGGGTTTGAAAGCGGAGGCAGGGGATGACAAATTCGTCCCGTGGCCATCCCTAATTATGGAGTTTCAACATTTTTTGAGTCTAATTTCGAAACTTATCCCTCTGTTTATATCTTTTTAAGAGGAATAAATAAAGAGAAAAAGTAAAGTATGAGAGAGAGCTATTTTTATTCGAGTAAACTACATTTTGTACATTTGTGTTTATTGCCTCTGAAATTTCTGCTTGCCACTCAGAAACTCTTGGGGATGTGAACACGTAGGCTTTTTGATTGAATTGAATATGTGCCATAACTTGTGAACCCAGTTTAAGGTATAGGAATGTTTGACCATGTCTGACTTTTAACATAAAGAAATGACTGTGTATGGCTAAGAGAAACCACCACTAGGACGGATCTTGCCCCAATGAAGAGGACTTTACTAAATTTTATAGCGACTCTGTTTTAGATCCGACCCATTGATGCTTTGGATCCGGGTTTCATTGTCTTATATGGTTGTTCATTTCTTGTTTCCTTTTATTCCTCTTTGATTTTGGTTATTGGGGTGTGTTGGTTACATTTAGAGCAAGTTGGTTGCTTCTTTCTAAATCTGTCGTTATCCTGAATTTTGTTTCTACACCAAGCGAAGCTTTTTGTGCTCGAGCAGTGTTTAAAAACTCTCAGTTCTTTTGCAGGTCTACAAAACTACTGGTGTCACGACCCAAACCCGCCCCTACCGGTTTGGGGCCGTAACCGGCCAGTAATCCGTGACTACCGAAGGCCTAATTGAGTAAAGAAAATAAGCAGGGCTAGCGAAAGCTATTATGCAAGAAATCAAAACGTGCAAGAAATCAAAATGTCCAATGAGCCTTGAATTTACATGAGGCATGAACATTGATATGCATTTATCTACTTATACATATATACATACAGTAGCACGACATGCTGTTACAAGTTTGTCAACGAGACATTCAAAGGGAAAAAGTTACTTTCACCATTAATAACCATTGTGCCAGTGACAATCGATTAAAACAGAACACGCGCGTGAGTTACAAAAGGGTGGACATAGACCACCTCAAAACTCTATTAGGTGGAAACCTCACGGTGAGGCATGGCGGTTAGCTTGACAAAAACCAGAGCATGACCGACGCCACTATGTCCCTTCCTGAGCTGGATCACCTACATGTCATATCAAAATATGAGCTAAAGCCCTGTGAATAACAACTGAATGAGGGATTGTGAACGGTAATTATAATGATAACTGCAACATATACCGAACAAGTTCATATAACATCTGAAAAGCACAACATAATGCGTAGTAGCTTAAAATAATAAATATCGGCGGCCTAGAAGACCGAACTGACGATCAGAAAGACCTGATAAGCGGCCACGAAGACCGAACAGACGGTCGTGAAGACTGAAGATCAGATACGATGGTTAACACCGTAACAACAGGAGTTCCGTTAAATGGAACTAACGGGTCTGCAATCACACAAATGGTACTAAGACAGATAATGAAAACAGAGGTAGAACTAACAATCAATAACATAAAAACTTCCGGAGTACTGCGTAAATTTGAAGTAGAACAAAAAGACAATTAAAATCAAACATGTGCTTACAAGAGTGTTACTCACAGTGGGTCTCGTGATGCAGGTAACTGGAACTTGGTGTTTGACCTACATAAATAAATATAAGCGTGGAACACTTAATTTTCCACATAACTAGCTAATTAGTTTCATCGCTTAAGCGTTGGCTGGTCTAAAGTCGTTCACCCATGTTAAATGCTTTTGTAATGCAAATAGACACTAATTACATATGTAAATTATGTTAATAGAGGCTCGAGAGTGGGGTAAATAACACCAAAAAAAAATGAAACCGAGGCTGCGAAGCTGCCGCACGTGCGGAGGTCCTTGGCCGCACGTGCGGGACCCCCTCCGCACGTGTGCCCCTAAGTGCTTTTATTTCAGAATGCATCTTCCTTCACCCCTATTTTCCGCACGTGTGGGCCTACCCGCCGCACGTGTGCCGATGCTCTCCCGCACGTGCGGGATTCCTAGCCGTACGTACGGTTCTGGGTATTCCAGAAACGAGTTTCTGCTCTGTTTTGGGGTTTCAAATTCCACAACATCAAACTCAAAATTGTCCAACTTAAAGACCAAAATTTAACAATCGTATTATACAAACAATTTCGACGTTCCTGTCAAGAATAGAACTTGAAATTCAACCTCAAGCTCTAGAATTTCATCAACAACCTCAAAACTAGGTGGAACTCAATGATTCAACAAAATTATAGAAACCTAACTTAAAGTCAAACAAGATCAAAGTTTCATCGCTTAAGCGTTGGTTGGTCTAAAGTTGTTCACCCATGTTAAATGCTTTTGTAATGCAAATAGACACTAATTACATATGTAAATTATGTTAATAGAGGCTCGAGAGTGCGGTAAATAACACCAAAAAAAAAAAAAATGAAACCGAGGCTGCGAAGCTGCCGCACGTGCGGAGGTCCTTGGCCGCACGTGCGGGACCCCCTTCGCACGTGTGCCCCTAAGTGCTTTTATTTCAGAATGTATCTTCCTTCACCCCTATTTTCCGCACATGTGGGCCTACCCGCCGCACATGCGGGATTCCTAGCCGTACGTATGGTTCTGGGTATTCTAGAACCGAGTTTCTGCTCTGTTTTGGGGTTCCAAATTCCAAAAAATCAAACTCAAAATTGTCCAACTTAAAGACCAAAATTTAACAATCGTATTATACAAACAATTTCCACGTTCCTCTCAAGAATAGAACTTGAAATTCAACCTCAAGCTCTAGAATTTCATCAACAACCTCAAAACTAGGTGGAACTCAATGATTCAACAAAATTATAGAAACCTAACTTAAAGTCAAGCAAGATCAAATGGATGAGCTCTAATTTCTTCAAAATTTGGAGACTTCTTCTTGTTAGGGTTTATAACATAATTAACTACCTAAGCTTCTCATATTTCCTCATACCCTATGAGTTCAAGGTGAAACTTAGCTCTTATGCAAGAGATTAGAAAGAATTGGTACCTCAAAGAGTTAATTTAGTCAAGTTGCCTCAAGATTTCCTTTACCTCCTTCTCTTCTCTTCTTGCTCTCTAGAGCCCTCTCTCACACTTTTGTATCCCCCTCTCTCTTTTAGTTCAACACACACACACACACATACACACACACACACACACACACACACACACATATATATATATATATGTATATAAGAAAAAAAGAAATCTTATAAGCATCTCCACTTTTTTTTTTGATCGGCAAATAAATCTTTATTGATGAAACATACAAAGTATGATTAGATACATCAATAAAGAGGAGCTTAGAGCTAACACGAAGCTCCAAGCGCCTCCACTTAATATACTTAATGACATCATTTAAGTTAGAAATGCACTCATCAGAGGTTAACTAAACCCTTCCTTTTCTAATTCATGGTGAATAAGGCTCTATTATGGTGAATTAGGCTCTAAACACCTAGCCCATTAATTAATTCATAACTTCACGATTTTATGAACCAGACAGATCCTTTTTATAAAGAGCGTATCTATTAGCAAGCATGATGCACATAAATAGGCATATAGAGTACAGATAAAGACATAATCAAGATTAACCATTAAAGTAATAAGTAGGTAAGAGGTAGGTGTTACAGTCTCTCCCCCTTAGGACGTTTGGTCCTCCAAACTCAGCTACCTTTTTCAGTGGAAAGTGTAGGATCTAACGGAAAAAGTTTAGGATATTTCTCGTGCATCTCAACTTCTCGTTCCCAAGTTGCATACAAGCCATTATGGTTCTGTCAATCCACTTTTACTAACGAAATTTCCTTATTTCTCAACTTTTTAATTCGACAACTAACAATTTGGATGGGTCATTTTGTGTATGTATAATCATCACCCATAGGTACTTGGGAAGGTTCAACCACTTGTTAAGGGTCCAGGAGAGACTCCTTAGCATGGAGATATGGAAGATATTGTGCATGTGTGCCATATCTGTAGGTAGAGCTATTTGGTACGCCATTGGACTTAGTTTCTCAATATTCTTGTACGGTCCGATGTATTGAGGCGCTAGCTTACCCTTAACTCCAAAACAAGCGTGTCCCTTCATTGGCGTAACCTTAATAAAGACACGGTTGCCTACTTCATATTCTCTTTCTCGTCTACACACATCAGCATAGCTTTTCTGTCGGCTTTGAGCAGTTTTCAATAGTTGCCAAATTAACTTTACTTTCTCAGTAGTCTCTTGTACAAGTTCAGGTCCCAATAATGGTCTATCTCCAACTTCAGCCCAATAGATCAGTGACTGACATTTTCGGTCGTACAAAGCCTCGTAGGGTGCCATGTCAATGCTGGAGTGATAGCTGTTGTTGTATGCAAACTCAACCAAAGGCAAATGTGTCTCCCAATTTCCTTGGAAGTCTAATACATACATACGTAACATATCCTCAAGCGTCTGAATTGTCCTCTCTGATTGGCCATCCGTTTGGGGATGGTACGCACTGCTCAATCTTAACTCTATCCCTAGTGCCTTTTGTAAACTTTGCCAAAACCTCGAAGTAAACTTCGGATCTCTGTCTAATACGATAGATACAGGGACTCCATGCAATTTTACAATTTCATTCACATACAAAGTAGCCAACTTATCCACAGCATATGTCGCCTTAATAGGTAGAAAATGAGCGAATTTTGTCAATCGATCCACAATTACCCAAATAGAGTCCATACCTCTGTTGGAGCGAGGCAATCCAACCACAAAATCCATTGTGATATGTTCCCATTTCCACTTCGGTATAGGTAGTGGTTGGAGCAATCTTGCGGGTCGTTGATGTTCCGCTTAAGAAACTTAGAAGTCGAGGTGTTGACGCCCCAAAATCACCAAATGGTGTCAGATTAGCATGAAACTTGGCACACACAACCGCCTAGGCACGAGAGACTTATGGGAGAAGATGGGACTCGAATTGGGTTCCCGTATGAAATTGATCGAAGATAATCCTCGTTTGCTCTACACTTCCGCGTTAGAAAATGAAGAAACTCCTTTACATATTGCTTCTATGGTTGGTCACTTTAATCTTGTGATAGGGATCATGAAATTGAGGAAAGAATTTTCCCAAGAACTCAACGAAGACGGTTTGAGTCCATTGCATATTGCCTCAACTAAAGGGCATGTTGAGATTGTGAAGGAGCTTTTGAAAGAAGATCACAAACTCTGCCTAGTTAAAGGAAGAGAAAGAAGAATTCCCCTTCACTATACAACAATCAAAGGCAGGGTTGATGTGATAAGAGAACTGATTTTAGCTAGTGCAGATTCTGTAGTAGACGTGGCAGCCCGAGGAGAGAAAGTTCTTCACTTGGCTGTGAAGAACAACCAATTTGAAGCCTTCAAAGACTTGGTGGAACATCTTAAGAAATTCAACAAAGAGAATGTCTTAAATAGGAAGGATGACCAAGGGAACACTTTCTTGCACCTTGCAGTTTCAAAAAAATAGTACGAGGTATATCCGGTCTACCTATGTTATTTCTCACGTTTTCATTTTGAGAAATGTTACATAGAAAAAATTATGAAAAAGTTACCCTTTTGTCTATTCTGTGACTTTCTTGTTTAAAATTTTGTTTTTGTCCATACAATTTCAATTTGGTTTTTCTATCTTTGCTTCTAACCAGGAAAAAAATTGAGAAGGAAAATTGTGAGGTAGCTGAGATCCTTTTCCCACCCCTCCCCCAAATCTTTATACCCTTGCACTCCCAGTTACACAATCGTGCCTTGATATTCCTGCTTTTCATGACTCTCACCACATCATACAATTTGGATTGCATTGGACATAAGGGGATGGGATTCTAAGGACAGAAGATCCCTAACCCCTACTCCTATGTAACTTCTCTTGGTTTGTTTGTTTGTTTTGTTTTTTTTTTTTTTTTGTCAATTTTTTTGTTTTTTTTTTTGTTTTTTCGAACAAGTGATATTGAAAATTGTGAGCAAGTGATTGACTTGGTGCTGAAGAAAAATGCTATCTCTAATGGGGCATTGGAGATCAATTCCTTGAACAAGAAAGGTCTCACAGCTCTTGATGTTTTTCCGTTTTTCCAAAGCGAAGCAGTCATTAGAGAAATCAAGGAGATTCTTAGGCAAGTTGGAGTTATGATAGCAGAAGAGTTGCACTCTTTAACACAACCCGGAATGAATCAAAATCAAGCTATTGTTGCTATTAACCTTTCAAGTGACTGTAGACACCCTATTTTTGACCGCCCTTAAGACTTGGGCACTACTGATGGTTTACTTGGTGGAGAAATGTGTGCAGGGCAAAAGTTCAGTTTCTTCGGCAAGGAGAGAGACAAATTTCAACTTCATACCCCTTTTGGACCAAAACAATCTTGATCAAAAGATTTTAGACCTTGAAACCCTCTCTTTCAAAATGTTTTGAAAATAAAGTTTCTACGATGTTCCGACACTCGCATTTTGTTAAATGTCGCGCTTTTTGGTAAACCGAGCAAGGGCAAAGTGGAAATGAATGAAAGAGAGATGAAATATTTGAAAAATCTTTGAAAACACTTTGTTTAGGGGTTTGGATTTGAAGAAAAGAGGAAAGGAGAGAAGAAAACTAGTTTGGGAGAAGTTCGGCATGAATCCGGGTAGGACCAAAACTGCGCGGCTTCACCAAAACAGGTATAACTTTTTTCACAGTTAGAATTCTGATGCAACGCTGCCACCATTGGAAAGCTTACTTCCGGGGCTTCAATTTGGACACAAGAATGACCTGAAAAGGAGTCCATATGAAGGAGTTATGGCCATTTGAAGTTGGACCTAGAAAGCAGAATTTTCCTGCCGACCAGAAAAACTAGCTGGCCGACCAGAGAAAGCAGCTGGCCAATCGCTCTCTCTGAAAAACTGGTCTGCCTACCAGAAAAAGTGGTCAGCCAACCACTTTAACTGGTCGGCGACCTTCCTGCAGATTTTGAAGAGTCTGTGGATGCCAGCTGTGCCAGCTGGGGGGCACAGACTGCATCCTCCACACAGAAGGGATTGGATCCAAGCTCTAAGCTTCTCTAAGAAGCTTTAGTTTATGTTTTTCTATAAGAGAGGGTCTCCCTCTCCATTCCACAGGTTCTGAAGTTGGCCAAGAGTGATAGATATATCTCCCCCTCTATATTCTTCTCTCTCTCTCTATATTTTGTGCCTTAAAGAATGTTATTCCTTCACTTTTGCACTATAACTCCTAGCCACACACCACCATATTTGAGTTGAGATCCTTGGAGGTGGTTTTTGGGTCATAAGAGTTGGTTTTGGGCTAGAGGAATTGCTATTGTTGCAGTGCTTCAAGGGTGACCCCTTTTCTCCTCTTTAAGCTTTGTTTTTGGTTACTCTCCTAGCCATATTTTCATGATGATTTGAGCTTAACTTTCTACTAGAAAAAGTTCTGTTTTTCAGTCCTTGTGATGTTTGTTTAAGACCTCTTGGGTGTTGAGGGTCTTCTACCCTCTTGCATGCCTTATTTGGCCTTTTTTTGTGCCATGCCTTAAGGCCTTCGAGCTAGTCCTTGCTTGGCCTTTTAACCATTAAAATCCAGTGGATTTTCAATGGTTGGCATGTGGTTTTGAGGTCCTAAATCAGAGAGGGGTGATCCGCTCTCTTATTGTTTTGTTTGCTTGCATTATTGGCCTATCAAAGGGGCATGTGTTTCTACTATTTTGAGGCTTGGCTCAAGTACTTTTTTGTGACTTCTAGGACCTTCCTTGACTCTGTCCATGGCTGATTTTGTCACATTTTTCATGCTTCTTGTATGTGTAGTGCAATCCCATTTGTGGCTCATCAAAGTAGCATGTCTTTCTAGCATGTATGGGCTCCATTTCAGTAGGTTTTTGGTCATTATTTAGCATGTCATAACTCTGTCTAAAGTTGGTTTGATAGCCTTTTGCATGCTTCATGTACTTGTAGTATAAATCTTGCTTACTAGCTTTGTATGCATGTTGTTTTGGCTCATCATTCTAGCATATTTTGGCTATGCTCCAACATGATTTTATTCATATTTTGAGCTGTTCTAGGACTGTTTTGGGCTGCCATGATCATATCACTCATGTTTTGTATAGTTATAGTGCAAATGCTTTGGCTAGTCTTGAGTTTTGAGATCCCTAGCATGCTATATTTGTGATGTTTTCATACCTTGGCATCATTTGGCATGGAATTTCAGAGCTTATATCTTTTCCATACTCTCATGTTTATCACTCTTTAATTGTATTTGAGAGTTGAGCTTTGTGCCTTGCTCGCGAGCCATTATTTGGGCATGCTTTTTCTTGCTTAGCATGCTATCATTTCAGTCCATTTCAGCCACTATTTTGACCTGCATTAGGTCTGTTTTGAGTGCTTTAGGTCATTTGAGCATTGCATGGTATGGTTGTAGTGTAAAGCCCTTGACTAGCTTTGTATTTCAAGTCTCTTGGCATGATTTATTTGAGCTATTTGCATGATATGGCTTCACTTTGCATGTAATTTCAGAGCATATAGACTTGCCATGCTCCCACTTTTGTCACCCCTTGAGTGCCCCTAAGGGTTGTGTTCTTGTTGCCTAACTTGTGGACCAATATGTGTGCATGTGTGTCTTGCCTTTGGATGCCTTAGTCTTGGTGTTATGGCCGCTGATTTGGACATGGCTGAGGCCTATTCATTTCGGTTTAAGTCCATTGCGCATTGAGTATGTCATGTAGTTCGTAGCATTGAGCATGCCATGTTGTTACACGAATGATCATTGCACTTGTGCATGCCATTTTCATTGCATTATGTATGTTGGTTACCACGTGCATTGTGTATGTTAGTGTCATGAGCGTTGTGTATGCCATATAGTTCATAGCATCGTGTATGCTAGTTTGCATGTTGGCATGATCATCCCTTGCATGCTTGCATGTCCAAGTTGTGTTACATTAAGTTGCATGATTGAGTTGCATTGTGCATGCCATGTTTGTTGCATTATGTTTGGAATAGACGTTAGTCCAAACACGGGAAACGAGGGGCGTTTCATACTGTGAAGTGATGAAACGTACCTCAATTCCCGGTCGCCGACACTCTTGACTATACATCATGGAGTTTTAGGCTTTACGTGTTCATATGTGCATTCATTTCATATTGAGTTGCGCAATTCGGCTCCTCGGCCATCATGCATCGAGATACGCGATTGATGGCCCAAGGATCGAGAACTACACTCCCTTGAGCTTATGTAATGATAGAGAGGGTGGTCGCGCATACATGTGTTGCAAATATTTTGCCATGCCCCTTTCTTGCCCTCTGTTGCAGAAAACTAGAAACCACCAGCAAAAACTGGTCGGCCGACCAGATAAAGTGGCTGGCCGACCACTTTTTCTAGTTTTCACCACAAAAAGTGGTCGGCAGGTGGTCTCCAAGGCCAATATTTGGTTGGCAGCATCCCTACAGATTCCCAAGGTGGAGTTTCATCTCTCTAGAGCTTGGTGCAAGTTTCTGAGATCAATTGCAAAAAGAGGCAAATCGGGGCGTCGTGAGGGATTTCCAAGCAAGGCGACTCGAGCATGCATGCATCCTTTGTCATCCAAAGCAAGTCGAGGCAGCCTACATCACATAGTTTGCATGCTTATTTAATTGCTAATTTAGTTGATTTGTTAACTAGTTAGTGTTGTGTAATAATTAGTTGTAGCTTGTTATTCATTCTGTTGTGTAATAACTAGTTTAATTAGATTAGCTTAGATTAGGTAGTTGGTTTTGTATTATTCATTCGGACCCTCCGTCAAGAGGTCACAACTATTGTAAATAAGTGTGCGTGTGTGTGATGCATGTCTTCCAACCCCCATTTCTTTCTCCCTTTTATTTACCAGTTGACGGTGGTTAGTTTTAGGGCATGTTTCAATTAGCATCCTTATGCTCGCATGTTTGCATCCATTCATCTGTCCTGCATGCACCGGGCTCGGCGCATCATGCTAACTGCATTGTATTTCAATTCCTGTTTGAATACATGTATCAAATTGCATTTCACATGGCTTTTTAGAATAGCCGAGCTTATCATAGTTGCATTTTGTATGTGTTGCATTAGGCATTCTTGACATAGCTAGGATCATGCATTGATTTCTAACATAGCTTTTGTTTGGCTCGGAGTACTCGGTAAGTGTTTATGCTTTAGCATCCTTACATGTGTGTGAGTGACTACCATGATAGCATGCTTGCCATGAGGCTAACTGCTTATGTGATATAACTGCCTGAATGCCAGTGGGTGAAGGTTGGATTACTTGAATTGGAACAATTCATTGATTGCGAGTTTTAAGCCCACTTGAGAGTGGCAAATCACCATGTTTTCTGAAGCCCACTTGAGGGTGGCAAAATCCGCATTTTAGCCTACTAGCGAGTAGCAAACCGCTTTAAAAAACAAACATGAGATGTTTTGTTCCAACTTAGGCGATCCAGTCTATACTTGTATGCTGTGCGCATCACATAGTAATTCTAGGTTAATAACAGGAATAAGAGCACATGTGTTTTCAAAAATAAGATATCATGTTAGTAAAGGCTGATTTTTGATCGGGCGAGCGGGGGTGCTCATTGCATGACCTTCCCCTCTCATACCCAAGTTCCCGAGCCGAGGCAACTTTGGTGATGACGGACACGTGGCCTTAGGCATGAGTTAGGGTTTCCTAAATTTTCCTAAAATAAAATATTTAGGTGGCGACTATGTATTTGGAAAAGCAGTCCATGTGTTGGCATTTCTTTGTAAAAATCAGTTTTTCAAAACGATTTGCCGGATTTGGATTCTTTGGTGATTTATCAATCTCGCGTTGCACTTTGCAAGATCAGATTAAGAACCGTGACATTGAGTCCGAACTGTAGTGAGCCCAATGAACAAAACGGGATTTTTCCCGGGACATTTGGACGCGTCTACAGTGACCAATCAACACCGAATCATCAGCCTCAATCTCCTGCTAAACGGTTGTTAGACTATTTCAAATACAACATAGATAGAGATTCACTAAGTGAAGCACGACACACCATGCTTGTGATAGTTGTACTTATCGCAACAACAACTTATCAAACCGTACGTAGTCCTCCAGGCAGTGTGTGGGCCGATGATTCTATGTCCAGCAATAACAATAGCAACAACAATGTTTCTAAACCACGTAAAGCAGGACAAGCAATCATGGGTTCTAAAAATTGCGTAACTTATGGTTTGTTAATTCTATTCAACTCAATTGGGGTTTTTACCTCTCTTCAAATGATCTATTGCCTCACAAGAGGATTCCCTTTGCAATTGGAATTGCAAATTGGAATGTTTGCACTCATAGTAAAATCTGATACTTGTATGGCTGCCATTACATCGAATGACAAGTTGTGGATTTTCTTACTATTATTTCCTCCCTCTTACGATGCTGATACCGATTGCAACTAGGGTGGCAAGGAACTATCCAAAGAAGGCAAGGACTGCAGTATGGACTAGAAATCAAGAAAGTGTGTAAAGTGAAAATGTTAATCTTCTGCTTCTTCTTCTTCTTTTTGTGTGTGTGTGTGTGTGTACAAATGTGTCTATGCTAGGATAAAAATCTATTTATTTTGAATTTGTACTTCTATTGTCTTGATAGATACTAGATTTGGAATAACTATATTAAGTTCATTCGGTGAAAGTTAAAAGAGTACTATCATTCAATTTGCTTTGTTAGGCCAAGTACTATTTATATTTCTTAAAGAAATTTGTTATTTTTATTTATTTTTTAATTGTCTGTCAAGGGATTGGGATACAATTCATAATTATCAATAATCTGGTTCACCTAGCATAAGAAAATTTACAACGAATCAATATTTAGTTGTAGTATGAGAAATTGGTCAGCTAGCCATGGAATGGAAGCTAAGGAGAAAAAAAAAAAGATGAAAAAGTTCCATGTTTCCATTGTCTATGTGATGAATGAGGCTACTGAACGAAAAATTCTTTTGTTTGAATTCATTTATCTAAATAATTGTCTTAAGGAAGAGGTCTAAATCTTTATTAGGAATTTTAATTTTGTTAGAAAACAGAATGAAGAAACAGAAAAATAGTGCATCAAATGCAAGATCTTAATGCTATGGGGCATCTGGTTTGCATGGTTGAACAAAAGAGGAATAGAAGATACTTGTGTTTGATCTTGATTCTTCAAAAATAATTTTTGAGTTTTTGTTTTATGTATTTTGTTGTCTTTAGACTTTAGTGAACTTTTTTTGTATAGTTAAATTTTTCAAAAAAAATTAGATGCACCTAATCTAAATTTATTAAAAAGTAAAATATCTGAGAAGCAATCTATTTTTTTTTGGTAAATACAAAAAAAAAAAAAAATGTAATGAATTTTTGTATTTAGTGAATTTAAAAAAAAAATTGACAAATTTTGTACCTTTCTAAAAAGCAAAAAACAAAAAAATTGATTAAAATATTAAAAAAATACTTAAAACAAAAAAAAAAAATATGAATTGAGAACTCGAAAACTGTTAAAAACCTAAAAAATCATTATAAATTGTTAAATCATTCTTTTTATTTTTTGTACATATTTTTATAAAAAACTAAAAGCCACTAAAAATGTCAATTTCTAAACCAACCATTTCTGCTGAGTGATCAATGGCTAGAAGAATATGAAGATAAAAAACTTATCAAGCATTCTAAGAATACCATAGGATTGTATGCCTAACCAATCATGTTTTATTATTTTTTCATATTGTTCTTATTTTTTAAGGTCATGTAAATACATCTTATTATTAGACGAGCACACTGTCACCTTAAAAATCTTAAAAGACGAGTTAATTACTCGTACAAAAAGGCATAAGCTAAGATCATTCCCTCTAGTTTGAATGAAATTTCACTTTCGTTCGTAGTTTCAATTTGAATAATTTAATCCCAACATTTTTAATTTTCCAATGTAATCCCTCTATCATGTGTTGTTAACATTTTGAATGGAAAAAAAAAAAATTCATGCATAAACCTAGAGGGCCGGTAGTCGCTGTAGTTTATTTTAAATCTACTTTGGTCCTCCTAATTTTACACAATTTTTTTTTCCATTCTAAATTTTAAGACTAAGTGATGAAGGGACCACATTACAAAAAAAATTAAAAGTGTATGGATCAAATTGTTCATATTGAAACTACTCATTTGAGAATAAACTATTTTAGTAATTTTTTGAATTTTTAGCTAAAACATAAGGTAAGAAAAACTGGCATATTTTAGGATGACTTTTTTATTTTTACAAAAAAAGTGAAAAAAGTAAAGAGAAAATAAATTTTTTGACTTTTTTTTTTTGTATAATTTATTAGTTTTCTGATTTTTTTTAGTGACTTTTGGACTTTTAAACTAAAATATTAACTCCCAAATGACGTAATTTGCCCTTTAATTTTTATTACTTTTCAAGATGCAATTACTCATTAAGTTTTTCTAATATATTTTTTCAATTGATAATATTTTCACTCCATTTGCTAATTAAGTATTTATAATTAGATAGAAGAAATGTTTATCATGGTCCAGGATGTTTGATTTTTAGTACATCTCTCATTATTTTTTGGCCAAACCAATAAAAGTAATTTTATTTAAAATATTTTAGCACACCACTCACATAATGCTGGACAACTAGTTATGGGTTCAAAATTTTTTGTACCCCATCTAATAATGGATAGAAAGCTCATTGAGGCTACTCAGATTGGAGATGTAGATTACACTACAAAAATTTTGGTTTTTTGCGACGGCAAAATGCCGTCGCAAATACTCAAAATGCCGTCTCGAAAACTTTTTTGCGACGACAACAAACTTTTAGCGACGGCAAGTCGGGGGTCACAACAAAAGGCGTTGCTAAAAGTTTTTAACGACTGCAAAGTGCCGTCGCCTTTTTTTTGTGACGGCAAAGTTGCCTTTTTGCGACGGCATTATGCTGCCGGCATTAATATGTAAAAATTTGAGATTTTTTGAGATGGCACTATGTTGTCGTCGCTAAAAGTGTCATTTGCGACGGCAAAAAATGCCGCCGCGAAAGTGTTTTTATTGCGACTGGATACTTGTCATCGCTAAAAGGTTATTTGAGACAGCACGACATGTCGTTGCTAAAAGGTTATTTGCGACAGCAAAGAATACCGTCACGAAAGGTTTTTTGTTTCAACAGCCAATATCTTTTGCGACGGCATTGGTTACGTGGAAAAAAAAAATTGGTTCCAATGTTTTTTTGAGATGGTGTGGTGCCGTCTCAAAAAAAAAAAAAAAAACCAAAACAAAACAGCAATAAAATTATTAAAAATATGAAAATTACCTGTATTAAATGAAAAATAACTGAAAAAGAAACCGATAATTATTTAATAATATAAAAATTTCAGTATAAAAATAACAATTCATCCATAATAAAAATATTCTTTCATTCATAACAACACATCAGCAAAATTATCCCACTACATAATGTTGCATAATACATATACAATGTTTAAGTACATAATGTTATTCACAATTCAAAATAATGTAAATCAAAAACAAAAGTTTTCCTCATGATTCTTCCGTGGGTAACAAAAACAAAATTTAGTCACAATCTTCACACGCCTACATTCCACAAGAAGCTAACTGCTACTCGGGAAACATTTGTAAACAAAAAATAAAAATAATTAATGACAATATAATTATGTGTTAATATTTTAATTACAAAAAAAACTTACAAAATTAACTACTATATAATTACAAAGATAATTAAGTAAATAATTCTGTCTAGACAGAAATCTGGCTCTAACTACCAAACCGAGAACCCGATTGGATTCCCGTTATCTCCCACAAGTCTCTCATGCTTAGTCGGTCGTGTGTGCAAAGTTTCGTACTAAATCGACGCCGTTTGGTGATTTTGGGGCGTCAACACCTCGAATTCAATCTGGTTCTAACTCCCAAACCGGGAACCTGATTCGAGTCCTGTCTTCTCCCACAAGTCTCTCATGCCTAGGTGGTCGTGTCTGCCAAATTTCATGCTAATCCGACCCTGTTTGGTAATTTTGGGGCGTCAACAGCTCGAATTCAAGTTTCTTAGGGAACTAGTTTTCCTAGAGTGAAATCTGACTCTAACTCCCAAACCGGGAACCCGATTGGAGTTCGGTCTTCTCCTACAAGTCTCTCGTGCCAAGGCGGTCTTGTATGCTAAGTTTTGTGCAAAATCGACACCGTTTGGTAATTGTGGGGCGTCAACACCTCAAATTCAAGTTTCTTAAGGAATTAGTTTACCTAGAGTGAAATCCAGCTCTAACTCCCAAACCGGGAACCCGATTCGAGCTCCGTCTTTTCCCACAAGTCTCTCTTACCTAGGCGGTTGTGTGTGCCAAGTTTCATGCTAATCTGATCCCGTTTGGTGATTTTGGGGCGTCAACACCTCAAATTCAAATTTCTTAATGACCTATTTTTCCAAGACCGAAATTCGGCTATAACTCCCAAACCTGGAACCCGATTCGAGCCCCGTCTTCTCCAACAAGTCTCTCGTGCCTAGGCGGTCGTGTGTGCCAAGTTTCGTGCTAATCTGACCCCGTTTGGTGATTTTGGGGCGTCAACACCTCGAATTGAAGTTTTTTAAGAAACTAGTATGCCTACAATGAAATCTGGCTCTAACTCTCAAACCAGGAACCTGATTGGAGTCCCGTCTTCTTCCACAAGTCTCTCGTGCCTAGGCCATCGTGTGTGCCAAGTTTCGTGCTAAATCGACACCGTTTTGTGATTTTGAGGCGTTAACACCCCGAATTCTAGTTTCTTAAGGAACTAGTTTGCCTAGAGTGACATCCAGCTCTAACTCTCAAACCGGGAACCCGATTGGAGTCCCGTCTTCTCCCATAAATCTCTCGTGCCTAGGCAGTCATGTGTGCCAAGTTTCGTGCTAATCCAATCTCATTTGGTGATTTTACGGCGTGAACACCTCGAATTTAAGTTTCTTAAGGAACTAGTTTGCCTAGAGTGAAATTCGGCTCTAACTCCCAAACGGGGAACCTGATTGGAGTCCCATCTTCTCTCACAAGTCTCTCGTACCTAGGCGGTCGTGTGTGCCAAGTTTTGTGCTAAACCGACGCCGTTTGGTGATTTTATGGCATCAACACCTCGAATTTAAGTTTCTTGAGGAACTAGTTTGCTTAGAGTGAAATCCGACTCTAACTCCTATATCGGGAACCCGATTCAAGGTCTATCTTCTCCCACAAGTCTCTCGTGCCTAGCCAGTCGTGTGTGCCAAGTTTCGTGCTAATCCGACCCCATTTGGTGATTTTGAGGCGTCAATACCTCGAATTCAAATTTCTTAAGGAACTGTTTTGCTTAGACTGAAATCCAGCTCTAACTCCCGTGCCTCGGTGGTCGTGTGTGCCAAGTTTCATGCTAATCCAACCCTGTTTGGTGATTTTGGGGTGTCAACACCTCGAATCCTAGTTTCTTAAGGAACTAGT